AAATAATAAATTAAAATTAATATATATATATATATATATATATATATATATATATAAAATAAATAAATTATTGTATATGTATATGCATATGTGTATACATATAAATATATACATATATGTATTATATATGTATGATAAAACATTATACATATATGTACATAAAACTTTAAAAATAAATATGTAAATTTTTTATACCATGTTCTTCTTCCATTTCATCAATCCAACTGCTAAATGGTTTTACTGGCACAGTGGGTGTTCCACCCCCATCAGCCAAGAATGACATTAAATCAACAGTTTTACACTTCTTCTTTTTTCCTTTTTTACCTGACAGAAATAAACATAGATAAAAGCTAACATTTTTTAAAAAAATTTTCAATGTATAAGAATGCAATATTGAAAGCATGCTGCGTTTTGCAAAAAGTTTGGTTATGTCGTGAAAAAATAATAGAAGTAGAATAATATTATAATTTTTCATATCAAAAATATTCTCAAATAATCAAAGTATTAATAGTTCAATTTTATTTAATAGAAATGTTTACCTGAAGACATGGTTACGACTCGAATTTAAAGTAATGCAAATCAAATCCGCGTTCCAATAGACCACACGACCAACCTCAGGATCCATAAGGCATGAAACATGTTTTAGAAAGATGCAAGTCAACCAACATTGAATACTATAAACTCAGACAGAAAGTTTATGCATTTATGTAAATATTTTATATAAATGAAATATACAAATAATTTAAAATTGTTATAATAACGATTAAAAATATTTATTCGTTTTTATTATCATATTCTTTTACCAAAAATATTAATCAAATTTTTTAAATTTTTTATAACATTATTAATTATAAAATTTATAAAGAAATATGAATTTAAAATAACATTATATTATTTAAAAATTACATATTAACGTAAAAGAAATATTCATAATCATAGAAATAAAAGTATTATTAAAAATATAATATAATTAATATATAATTAAGATGGTATTTTTTGCAATTTTTAATCAAAAGAAACCAATAGAGATCATTCATAGAAAATTTCGGAACACATGGTTAACTTAAGAGTGAGTAGCGCTGTTACAGGAAGCAACTGCAAAGAGGCTCTAAGTCACGTGATCGTAACATAGTGTGCTGAAGACATGGCGGACAAAGAGGAGACAGAAAGGACCATCGCCGAAGACATCGTTGTCACCAAGTATAAAATGGCCGGTGACATCGTAAATCGTAAGAAAACGACTTAATGTTCACTAATGAAGCTTGTCAAACAAAAGTGAAATTGCCTGATTCATGCACAGGCTCCTTAATGTCATATTTTCTGCCTGGCCATATGGAATGTGGCGCGCTAATGCCGGGCTTTCTTACCATGTGGGATAGATAGCATTGACTATTACATTTTAATATTTTATGGATGCATTGAATATTTTATACTTTCTTAATGATTGATCTACAAGAAATTACTATATTTTTATTATAAAATATCAAAAAATGCTTATTTTATATCATTGTTGCAACGTAATAATCTTAATAGGAACTATAATTTGCTTATATTTCTATATCAATGTATTTCCATTTCCATAAAAAGAATAGACTTTACATATTCAATGAAAATTTTTACATTGAATATTTTTATATGAGTATTTTTGTTTTACATTACTTTTTATTATTGTTTGAATAATCTAATTATATTTTTATATGTTGACTAAAACCTATATTTAAAATGTCCATAAAATTAACTGAAATGAATTTGTTTTAAATTTTACATATAAATAGGTCATCGATTCTTAATATTAATTTTTTATATTTTTCTTGAAAAATAAAAGTGGAAAAAATTAAAAATGAATATTTTACAAAACAAATTAATAACTATAACTTTTTGTCGAAACAAAATATCGATATGTTTACGCTAAAAATTAGTATTTTTTTAATTCGTAAAAAATAAAAATTAGATGAAAATTATATATAAAAAAAATAAAATATATTATATTGACGATTTCTTCTTGAATTTTTTATAGTATTTTATTATGAGAAGAATTTTGATATCTTCTTTTAACATTTTGCAAAGTATTAAATTTGTTTTATATTATATATATATATATTAAATATCTTATTTTCATAATTATAATAAAATTCAAAATATTCCATTATATATAATGCTTAAAATATTAATTAGTAATTATAAGTGATAAATTATAAAAATTTAATTATTTTAGTAGTTTAATAATAAATTTTTATAATTTTATCATTTTATAATTTCAGGGGTATTAAAACAAGTTTTAGATAAATGTACTGCTGGAGCATCTGTAAGAGAAATTTGTGAGTTTGGAGATAAATTAATATTGGATGAAACTAGTAAAATTTTTAAGAAAGAAAAAGAACTGAAGAAAGGAATTGCTTTTCCTACATGCATATCTGTTAATAATTGCATATGTCACTTTTCACCAATTGCAAGTGAACCAGATCTTATTCTTAAAGATGAAGATATGGTAAAAGTGTAAGTTTATGATATATATGATATATAAATATAAATATAAATATAAATATATATAATGTAAATATAATATAAATATAAATATAATATGTTTATTTAAAATTTTAATTTTTAAATAATAATTTGTATTTTTAGAGATCTTGGAGCACATGTTGATGGCTTTATAGCAGTTGTGGCACATACTATTATTATAGGTTCTTCACCAACAAAAAAAGTTACTGGTAGAAAAGCAGATGTAGTGTTAGCTGCACATTTTGCATCACAAGCTGCACTTAGGCTTTTACAGCCAGGTACAGAGGTATGTTATGTACATGTTCTATACTTATAAATTATATAATTTTCAAGAAAAAAGCTTCATATAATTTTGTCTTCTGTTATAGACTTATACAATAACAGAGACAGTAGAAAAGATTTGCGATGTTTACAAATGTAAACCAATTGAAGGAATGTTAAGCCATCAATTGAAACAATTTAAAATAGATGGAGAAAAAACTATTATTCAAAATCCAAATGATGCACAAAAAAAAGAACATGAAAAATATACTCTTGAAGCATATGAGGTATAATTAAGTCAATATTATATATAATAATATATAATCAAATGAAACAAAGAAAAATCTATGTGGATTTTTTTTGTTCAGGTATATGCTATGGATGTGCTGGTTAGTACTGGTGAAGGAGTAGGTCGAGAACAGGACACTCGAGTTACTATATTTAAAAAAACAGAGGAAACATATCAGCTAAAATTAAAAGCATCACGCATGTTTTACTCTGAAGTCACTCATAAACATGGTCTTATGCCATTTAATTTACGTACTTTTGAAGATGAGAAAAAAGCAAAAATGGCAGTTGTGGAATGTGTAAATCATAGGTTGATTGAACCATTTCAAGTGAGTTTTTATTAATTATATATAATTTTTATGCTTTATCATAAAATTTTATAATATAATTAATATATAATTTTATATTATAATTGTATCATTATTCTAGGTACTCTATGAAAAACCAAATGAATTTGCTGCACAATTTAAATTTACAGTACTATTAATGCACAATCGACAACATAAAATTACCGGAATTCCTTTAGATCTTGATATTTATCAATCAGAATATGTTGTTAAAGATCCTGAATTGAAGGTATAAATTGAATATTTTTTTTTATGAATTTTTTATTTTTTATTAACTAATATGATTATATTATAGACACTTTTGTATACCTCAGTACATCCAAGAACTACAAAAAGGATGAGAAAGAAGGCTGAGAAAGCTGCAGGTGAAGTGACAATGGAAGTTGATGCTAAGGCCTAACACAACCATTCTAACGTTCTTTATAACGTATTAACATCGTGCACTTTACGTTATTTTTGGTTGAGCAGCTTCAGAGCAGAAATTAGACACTTTTCAGCGTCACTGTACCTTAAATATTTTTCCTTTGATTGGAAAGCCATTGATAAATTGTGATTCTTTATATCATTATATATTTACTATACCCATATTATTGTTTGTTTAATTACATGACTACATTTACATTTCTTAATTCAGGAAGTGCTCGTATCTGTATTAGTTTAAAAAAAGTGTCGAGTTCTGCCCTGAATGAATCAGACTTTACGACACTTATTATGCCACCACTTATTGACATTTATGTTTTTATACTGGAGTATCTTTTTCATGGACCATGGTATTATTATACACTAAACAATAATTATTCATAAGTCATTTTGCAGCTAATGTATTACATTTCAAACACATGAAATCTATTTTGCAAATGGTCGAAATATAATGATATAATTGTGCAACTTAATTCGACCAGAAAGTGAATCGCACGTGCATTCATACTGTGTGTTTCTTTCGTAAAAGAAACCAATAAAATATGATTTTGATTTTGTAAATGTTTTTACAAAATTATTTCATACTGAATGTCTACTTAATTATGCTAACAAAAAGATATTTTAATAGAATCACAATTAATACGTTCTACAGTTTCTGAATGCACTGCCGAACGTGATAATTCACTTTGACCCTGATGCTAGTTTTGCAATTTTGTGCATCTTGTGTCTAGTGAATGAATAACCAATATCATAAAAAAATCTGATTTCTAATTGTATAATTGGAATTAGAATGTCCATATTGGAATTCCGTATAAATAATGAAATGCCAATGAACTTCGAAGTGTTTCGTTGCAAGAACTTCCAACCGTTAAAAAATTTTTTATTCTTATTCATTTTGACTTTGTGCAATTTTATTGAACATTGAGAGTAAATATTACTCAAATGATCATAGGAGCATTTTATGTTATTCTCATTCAAGTGAATGAAGAGAGGATTATCTAAGAGCAAAAGATTCTTGGTCTTATCAAGGTAAAAAAAGCGAAAATTATGAAGTATTGATACAATGTAATGATAGTTTTGTATAAGGAAGATAGATAATGTATTTGTTCTAGATATTTTTTCTACTCAAGTTGTGCATATGTCGAATGTTACCGAGTGTGCTTGTAAAACAAAAGATGTCTTAGATTATTGTACACTGTCCTTCATTTGCTCTAATTAGACTATCTTTTCATATTTGATATCATTTATACTTACAATAAAAATATAATAAATATGTACTAAAAAATATTTATTAATATTTTTATTATATATAGGTAGTATCAAATATAGAAAGATTGTATTTATGCTATTTTCTTTAAAATTTTTAATGAAACATTATATTAATAATTGAAACAGATGTGAAAAAATTCATTGCAAATAATTTATCAATATATGATACATATGTTTATATAAGGCAAAAAGGACTGTGTACAAATTTCATATTTAACTTAAAATTTAATATGGTGATATGAAAGAGAAATTGTTATTAAAAAATATTAATGACAAGCTAACAAGTATTTTGACACGTGCATATTTCGAGAATCATTATACTGCTCCTTTTTTCTCTTTCAAAATAATCATACTAATGCATCTGTAAGATACTGTCTATTTCTAAAGAATCTACAAAATTTATTGACTAAAAATTAACGATCAAAAAAGATAGAATTTTATGAATAATATATCTTACTAATTTTTCTATAATATATAATCTCTGATGTGAAGAAATGAAAATCGAAACATCAGAAATATAAAATCATATTTGCAGCTGTGTCTTTATTGTTAATATAACAGGTATGTCGTATAAACTAATATAGTTTTAATACTTGCTTCTGTTATATATAAGAATAGTCAAAAAGATTAGTATTATAAAAGAATAGCAATATCAATTAATTACACGAAATTAGAATCAATATATTAAAAGTAACGTACAAAATAACATCGCCGTGTCCATTTATAGATTCATGAAAGAATGATAGATTGAAGAAATTTTTATTTTTATTATTTTGAGAAGAATAATGTTAATGAATTTTTTTATCTTAACATTATTTTTTAAATTGACAAAAAAAGCAATATAAGTACTGTAAATATATATGATTTATAGTCATAAATTTATGAAAAAAAATGAAGGTTTTTCTGTGTGATTATCATACATCTATATTACAATACAAAAATTTTAATTTTAACACAATTGCATTAGGAGTAGTAATATCAGCAACATTTATCTCACTGTCATTTCTAAGTCCCAGTTCTATTAGCGTTTTTGTTAAATTTTCACGAGTTCTTTCCTCGATACTTGCTACAGTTTGCATATACAATGTTTTATTTTTTCCATCAATGTATGTTGTCAGACCCGGATTTTTCATTTGCAAGTCAGGTCTCTCACATAAAAGTTCTATCAAATCTTTTAATTTAAATTTAGGATTATTAATTTCAATTTCTTTTGGAATTTGACTACATGCCACACAGTCTTCTTTTTTTTCGGCTTCATAAGTGTAAGTATAAATTCCATCTACATTATTGAGTACCTTCACAAAAAGAAATTATTTGCATATTGTTTTATTTTTACAATTATAATAAATCAAAATAATAAAATACCATATAATTATTTAATGAAGCACTGCAACTGCTAGCAAGTTTAAATGCCTCAGTAGCACATGTTGCAGCAATAACAGCATTAGTAGATGCTACAGCAGGTATAATATTTTTTACTACTCCTTGCACTAATCTATATGTTAAGCCTTGTATTCCAAATTGTGCTGCTCTTTCATTAGATTTTTCATAAATCCAGTTTATATGTTGAGGATCATCACCATCTATTGCACAATCAAATGGATTTTCCTTTGGCCATTGAATTACTTTTACATATTCTATACAATGTTCTGGTAATCGGGGAGTATTTGCTATTGTACATAATGGATATGTGACCTATATTTCAATATAATGATAATTCAAGAAAGAAAAACTATATTATATCAGTTATAAAACATATTGGGAAAATTTACCTGTGGAGGATATAAATCTAAAGTACATTCGATACAAGCAGTCAAACCAGGTAGTATTACTCTTGCATTTCCTTTAAAACCTTCTGTACCTCCATCAATCATTGGTATTACACTTGATCGATCTAATTCTCCATTTTCATAAATTAACAACGATAACAACATGCCATTAATCCATCTTCTTGCAACTATTGAATCTAAACCACAAATTACTATGTGAAATTGTCTATAAAATTCTTCATCTTTATCTTGTATCTTGCAACAATGAGATATGACATTACAGCCTGGAATTCTATTATTAACAAATTTTGCAGCTACTTCTGCCTTTGATGAACCAATATCTTTATGATGGAAAAGAATTGCCTGGAAAATGATGGAAAATTTTTTTGGTAAAATTTTTCATACTTTTTTTTAAAGAATATATTAACGAATAAAAATATCTTGATAAATTATCGCATTAATTCCGATAAAGGATAATACCGATTAAGGTTAGATAATTCAATGGTGTCCATATCAATTACATGAATTTGTCTAAATCCCATTAATGCTAAATTTTTAAGCAATTCACATCCTAAACCACCAGCTCCAACAACGAGAATTTTACAATTATCTAATAAAAATTGTAAAGTTTCTGTCGATGGTTCGAAATCTGGTCTACAAAAGGGACCCGATCTTTCTAATACTTTTCGTAAATTACTCCATCGTCTATGCATATGATCAGAACCCATTTTTAAAATACTGTTAAAATGTATTATAAATCACTTTTAAATAAATATTAATTAAACATTTTATATACTTTATAACCTATATAGTTCAGACATTCACTATATTCAAAATATCTTATGTCAATAACAGTAGCGACACCAAACTATCACTTCTAGATGTATAAAATAACATATAATTATAATAGTGCATTATTTTGAAACAGTTTTAAATAATTTTTAATATAATCTATAATTCTTTTTTTCTTGAAGAAAGATCAATCAACATTAATATATATTATTTTCTTTATAAATATATTGATTTAAATTCAATTGAAATATGTATATAAAATCTATAACTTTTTAATTTATGAAATATTTGATTTACTATATATTTAATACATAATACATATTTGTTTATATGTAATTTTCATTTAATTAATTTCTTCAATTTAATTAAATCTAATGACGATTTAATTATTTTTTATATACCGTCTCTCGAGCAAATTGCCTTCCATCACGGCGTATTTTTAGCCTCATAGTACATGCTTCAAAATCGATATGTAAATCAGTGTTATACGGATGAAATGGTGAGTAACGCTTGATAGTATTATATCAGATTAAACCGATTGCATTTCTATATAATCATGTATACATTGACCGCGAATTTTAAAATTGTTTCGATACATTTTCTCTTTTTCCCTGTAAAATAAATTTATTTTTTATGAGCAATAATATATAAATTCATAAATATTTGATCATACAATCGTTACAGTGTCGACAACCGATAACTCACAAGTACATAAAAGAAATTATCAAAATCTTTTTAAGACATTCGAAAAATATATATACTAAATTTCAAGTCAAATGAAATACTTTCAATCTTTTCATTAATTTATTTTTATTTTTTCCTATCAGTTCAGAAATAAATATTAATATCGATATTAGCCTTTTCGCTTGTAGACATTCATCGTTCCCCTTCTTTCGAGATTCAGCAAGCAAGAGATATACAATGAGTCGCGCTCTTAGCAAATAAAAAGTTGCGCTTTCACGAGCAAATATTATTCGACGATGTAGCGATGCTTATATAAAGCAATTTGTATACGTGCGAATAACATGTGATCGATGATAATATAAAATGAATGTAGTTTAATAAATACAAGATATTTGTTCGATTTGTGCTATTATAAAGCGGAGCACTTGAGTAGTGTGCTTTCATGTTTACATGTTGCGCGCACGTCAAATCGATACGTCGTGTGCATGTGCGACCGAGTTTAATGAGTGAATTATGAAATTTGTACATGACGGAAAAGCTCGCACGTGGTTTATAATCCATCGCGTTGTGCAAATGTACTTTTTGTTTGGAATTTAGATACATAGAGAACCTGTAATAGCAAACTTGGAAAATATTGAAAGACGTCGATAAATATATATTTATCAAAGTATAACTGAAGAAGTATTAAAGTTGTTGCTGGAGATACGTGTTGGAGGTGAATATAATTCGAAACGATTCAAAAGCTTCTATGGGATATAATATTGCGAATTGGGAAATGATACGCACGAGGGAGGAATTGGTGGAGAAATTAGGTCTGGACGGCGTGGATGATACTAATACTTTGTTGAACAATATGGTAGACGTCAGAGCGTGCTACAAACCTAGCGGAAAAGTAAGATTTTTATGTCAAAAGTTTTTCTTCTTGTGTTCATGAATTTAAATCGATGCATGTTCGTGGATTTGTGTTAAATGCAATTGTTATGTCTTTGTTTGAGCCACATAATTTAATTCGTTTTATATTAATATTATGAAGAAAATATGTTTATTAAAATATGTTTTAAATTATAAAATTCATTACGAATAATTAAGTGAAATTTATTATCAATATTAATTCGTATTGATTCGATCTACAAATATTAATGAGTATTGATCATTGATTACAAAATTCATAAAGTATGTCATTAATCTTTGTTTATAAATCAAGAAGCATTTAAAATGTTCTATTTTATCGTTTGACTTGATTTAAGGAAATTGCTATTGATTAATGTTTACAATAGGGAACCTTTTTTAAGGAAGCTATTCATTATGTTTGTAATTTACCTATTAATTTAAAGTAAATTGAAAAATAGATTAGATAGAACATAATAAACTTAAATATTTTTTAGTTTCGCGAAAAAAATAAATAGAGTAGAATATGAATTCTCGAAATAAAGATTAATATCGAATTGATATTTGATTACTTGATTTGATCATTCGATTGCTCGATTCATTTTTCGAGTTTCATTTTATATTTCATATTGATATTTTATTTAATTGAAATTATCGAATTCCATTTTTTATTTTATTTTATTCGATTATATTATAAGCAATAAAAATTCTAAAATTATCATCCATTTTCCATCTAATCTTATTTATCTATATTAATTTATACTTTTAATTTATTTATAATTTTATTGCATTCCATTAACATGCATCGGATCATTAATGTTTATATTTGATTCTTTCTCTTATATTTGATGCATCAGCACTCTAATTGCATTTGAACGCATGAATTCTTAATTATTGTTAAGTTTGCGATTTTGCATCTCTCTCTCTCTCTCTCTCTCTATATATATATATATATATATATATATATATATTTATTTATCTATCTATCTATACATATCTATCTTTATCTATCTATCTATCTATCTTTATCTATCTATTTTTCTATTTATTTATTTTTCTCTCTCAATCTATTTATCTTTCTTTCTTAATCCAAATTGTTCACGCATTACACTAGCACAAAATGTTTTAGTTTATATGATAAACAATGACAATGAACTAGTGACAAAGCATGGTAAGATATGCGTTCACACGAAACGTTACGTCGCTGCATTAAATATGCTCCGACAAGCCACGTGATATATTCAGCTGGCGGTCGCTATGAAGCCAGAAGTCAGTGCTGGTTCGACGACTTTTGCGATCTAACGCGTGCGTCTGGAAACTCTGCTACGATTGCAGGTAATATACGCGCCACTTCTTTCGCGCCGGGGCCTGTCTCAATCTCTCTCTCTCTCTCTCTCTCTATATATATATATATATATATATATATATATATCTATTTATCTATCTATCTATACATATCTATCTTTATCTATCTATCTATCTATCTTTATCTATCTATTTTTCTATTTATTTATTTTTCTCTCTCAATCTATTTATCTTTCTTTCTTAATCCAAATTGTTCACGCATTACACTAGCACAAAATGTTTTAGTTTATATGATAAACAATGACAATGAACTAGTGACAAAGCATGGTAAGATATGCGTTCACACGAAACGTTACGTCGCTGCATTAAATATGCTCCGACAAGCCACGTGATATATTCAGCTGGCGGTCGCTATGAAGCCAGAAGTCAGTGCTGGTTCGACGACTTTTGCGATCTAACGCGTGCGTCTGGAAACTCTGCTACGATTGCAGGTAATATACGCGCCACTTCTTTCGCGCCGGGGCCTGTCTCAATGAATCTACATCGCGTGACTGCGCAGTCGAATTGATAAATGTTTTTTTTCTACGATTAAGTAAATTGTGGGAATTTAAATACATTTTTTAAATTCAGAGATCCATTAATTTTAATTTTGTCATAATTTTAAATTAATTGAAGATAACTTTGGATGAAGTTTTAAATCTTTTTTTAAAAAAATAATAATGGGACTACAACAATGCATAAATAAATAAAGGAACAAGAAACAAAATATACAAATAAACAAATAAACAAAATATTGCGTATATAATAAGAATGAAATATAATAAAAAAGAAGTATATACTTTCTGATTTTTGCAATGCGTGTGATTTTGTTCTCATCTACATACGTGCGCATTCTTTTCAATACAATTAAAAAATGTAAGCGAGTAAAAATTACATGATGGAAGATGTTGATTTTTTTTTTCTTCTTTTCTTTGAGTGAATTGGAAAAATCAAAATTTATCATCAAAAATTATAATGCTATTCATATTACTAATATTGCGATGATATGATGATAAAGAAAGAAGAACGATTTATTGGATTTACCGAATATTATCGATTAACAAATTAAGATTGCTTATCAAACTTATTTAAAAATCGTAATTGCAAGAAGCATATATTAATTAAATAATCTTATAAATATGTATCTCTTTTTTTCTTTTTTTCTGTTACCACTTCTTTCTTTTTCGAGGCTGAGGCAGACAAGAAAGAATAGGTTGTTGCTATGACCGCTTAAGTATTAGGTTAGTTCATAAATAACGGTAGTTTTTTTTGTTTTAAAATAGTAAAATATTGTTATTTAAACAAATTCGAAGATCTTTCATTATAAACTGCATATTTATATTTACTATTATCAAATAATAAATAATTTTGTGCTTAAAATGTTTATTAAAAGCATATTTTTTATTAATTTTATTATTTTTTTATTACATAATTATTTATAATACTTATTTTCATTTCAATTATTATATTCAATTATAATCTTTTTTTTAAATCTTGTGACTTATTACAATTATTGCGTAATTGTTGTAATTATATAATTTTTATAATTATTTTAATTCAATATCTTTTTTTTTCATTTTTTTTTATTTTTATGTTAGATAAAGGTTTGTTAATAAGCAAATAAATTTATTTTATGCATATTTTTTTAAATTTGACATATTTTTAATTCCTAATCAAATGATATGAATATTAAAAATATTCCAAAATATCATGATAAAAAAAATTAATTAAACTTTTTTTTTCTAATTCATTACTTATAATATATATGTATATATATATATGTATATATATACATATTCATACACACGACATATTATATCGTATTTTGTGTAGAATTCTAGAAATTGGAACAAGTGTCGTTTTTAGAAACTCTTTTTTTAAGTGCTATAGCGTAATTGAGGTTTGAAGAAGATCGTTATTTTTGTATCAACTAGTTACAGCTAGCTTTGTCGAAAAACATAAAATCTTGTTGACAATATGCCTTAGTTCATTTTTCCCATTCCAGTGACAGAACATTGATTTTGAAGCGTGACGCAAGCAGAAAAAACAGTACAAAAAATTATTTCTGTAATGAAATTATTTTCTGACAATAATCGATGTTATTTTATGAATAATCAACATTTAATAATCAATCTCTTTATATTTTTAAAAATCTTTAAAAATAATTATGCTAATGCTATAATATTAGCTAATGTTATTTTCTGGAAGAATCAAATAATTATATTTCAATTTTGATTAAAATAATACAATGTTATTATTTTTTTTTATATAAAACAAATACGTAATAATTAAATTTATTGTAATTTTATTATTTTAACTTATTTTTCGCATTTTTTTTTTGTTCAAATTTTTGTTCATGATTTCTTCTTTTTTTGTTAGTTATTTTTTATTAAGTCTTTAATAAATCATTGAAGAATTCACTAAACACTGAAACAGAAGAAATAAAAATAAAAATTGCAAATTGAAACATAATAAAAGAGAAAAATTTAATAAAACACAACTAGTATCAATATGTATCATTAAATATAATAACTAAAATATATAATTAAAGTATAATGTATCATTAACTATTAAGTATAATAATATTATTTTTCTTGTTCATGTAGATGTTACATATTAATGTTGTAATTTCAAAAATTGCATAATTTAGATATTTAAATTTCCTTCAAAAATTATTTTTACAGAAAATCAATTTGCAAACATTTTTTTTTATAATGCTTCATTCAAATGAATATTTTCATTTCGTGATAAAATTAAATGAAAAAGAACAAATAAATCAATATAAATGTATGAATTGATATTCTTGAATTTCGCGTGTTTTATTCAAATAATTTCGTAATTAGATGGGCCCCGTGTTTTTTTTTATTTCTTCCAGTAAAGCGGAAAAAAGCTTGCCGTTGCATATGCAACGATTTGGTCACGAGCGCGAGTTTTGAAGTAGTTGAATATCTTCTCTTTCTTCACATGCATGGGTCCTGGTTTATTCAATTACTACGTTCCTGTTGTGCACTATCGACGACCATCGTCATACTGCGCACGTGTATCGGCTCCCTGAGCTCGATTAATAACAGAAATGACCAAGGATAAACAGGTAAGTGCTTTTGGTGTTTCACAATTAATTTTTTCTTCTTTTCTTTTTCTTTTAATGAACACGAGTGTTTTTTAATAATTCAATGTTATTGAATATAATTCAATTGTATCGTAATATCAGTAATTGGAGATGTGTGATTTTTTTTTATTTATAAATTGAATATCATTTTTTAAGAATAATTTCGATGATTTTAAATGCATTTTTAAAATATCTTTACTTAGGTGATTAGTTTTAATTCTTGTATCAATATTTCCAATTCCAAATTCTTGATATGATTCAATTTTCTCATAATTTTAATAATTTTCTTCATTTATTAATATTAATCTTATATAAATTTAAATATCAAAATTTGTATTTCAAAGGAATAAATAAATTAATCTATTTCGATTCAAATATCGAAACTTGAATTATTTATGATATCTTCGATTATTATTAGTATTATTTAATATCGGTATCATTTAATCAATATATTTTGATTATTTAATCAAAATATTAATATACTATTATCAATACATATGTAAATAACAACTTGTTCAATTGTTATTTTAGAATTGTATTACGAATTTTCAATAATATTTGAAATTTCAAATCTTCAATTACTGAAAATACATATTTTTTTAATATATACGAAATTTATAAACTTTTATTTGCTGATTATAATGAATGAAAAATATACTTTATTTCTATTTTGAACAGATCTATTACAAGAAAAAGGTTATGGCACAATGAATCAAAATATTCTTTTTTTTTGCACAATGCACGCATGTACTTATTCATGTTCAATATCTTAAATTTATTTATTTCTTTTCAATTTTGTTCAATTTTTTATATGAAAAATATTTAATTAATTATTTGCATGCTCAGGCAAGATAATAATATATGTATGTATGCGATATGTATTTTTTGTTTTTCATTTGCTAATTTTGCGTTTAATTGTATCTTTCTGTATTTCAGGAGAATTATAACATTTTGATAACATTGTGACTAGACAAAGGCGATTAATATCGCACGCGTGCATAATGCTTGTATGACCTTAATTGCTGTTAGCATGCCACGCGATTATTACTCGTGAAACACGATCGATTCAGTTGAATCTGATCACTCTTAGTGAACGAAAGAATAGTACTATAAAATTATATTGTTGCAACAAAGATCGTTGCGAACAATTTCTAATTATAAAGATGATTTTATACAGCTGGAATCATTTTCTTCTTTTTTTGAAAAATACAGTAATTATAAATAAAAATCACATAGTAATCACATATTTCTAAGTTTTATCGTTTACATTCTTTTATATTTTTATATCATATAATAAATATATTATTTCACTTATTTCTTAAGTTAATCTTTTTTTTCTTTGTTAAAAAGAAAAAGATTACGTGGATTAACAAAAATAATATTTAGAATTTATTTTAAAATTAATTTTAAAAGCAAATAATTTATAATGAAGCTTCTATTAATAATCCTAGTTACATTGCGTTTTAATTTAAAGATTAATATAAATTTATTAAATTTTTATTATTAAATTATATGATAATAATTAGGATTTTGTTAAAATTGTTTTTGAAATTTATTTTGAACAATAGGAATTTATCTTAATCATTTCATAATCTTTTGCTAATAAACATAGTCACGTTTCTATTAGATTCCAAAAGATTTTAATGATCATGCAACAAGAATTTCAAATATCTCATGCAACAAACAGTGCAAAAGATAAAATGTATTTTCTAATAAGCTTAGACAAAAAATATCATGAATAATGAATCATAAAGGTTGAAAAATGTACGTGATGATTAATCAAAAGCATTGATTATGCTTTCGACATTTTTTAAATCCATAAATCTATTAAAAGATCATCTGAATACTTTTTTCTTATATAGATATAATACTTTTTATGTCTTATAAAGAAGTAAATATTATAAAAATGATGAAAAATAATATAAAGGCGTTTCGATTATCTTTTAAATCTATAAAAAGATTATGTGGATATTTTTTTTATTGTCCTTCATTCACCATAAATGTAGTGATAAATAGAATTGATTAAAAATGTTATTATGAAGTGAACGAGTTATCAATATTTTTTAAATTCACGAAGAAATCATCAGATTGATCTTTTATCTTTCATGATCATGATATATCAAATAATAAAAAACTATAGTTTTCATTACTTTTTTTAAATTTATAACATCATTAGAACATTATTTTATTATTCTTGATCAAAGCATGATTGTGACGACGTGTACAAAAATAATGAAAAGTGACGCAAACATGTTAAAGCGTTAATCACGCTTGCATTTATAAATGAAGTTTACGATTAAAATTTTGCAAAGATCGGAACGTAAATACGTTCGATGTATATTTTCTTCATTATTTATCAAGAAAAAGTCGCATAATTTGCTCTGTCTCACTGCGCTACGTTGCTCACTACATGCACCATGCGCGACTAACTTCAAAGATTTCACATTATGGTGATTTTGTGCGAATACAAATGAGAATCGAACGTTAAAATATAGTTAAAATGAAATTTGTATCATTAGCGCGAAATCACGAACAATAAATGATTTTTTTGAAATTTTTCTTGATTTCTAATGAAAATATTTAAAAATCAAAAAAATCAAATTGAATTAAAATTTATAACATTATTATTTTTGCAGTATAGGAAAAATTTATTTCTTGAGAATTAGAATTAGATTAAAAAAAATTTAAAAAGAAGATTGAATAATAGATAAGATTACTGATTGTCCATGAACAAAAATAGTGGATTTTTTTGTTCAGCTCTAAAAAAGAAATTAAATAAATTATGAAAAAATTGTTCGTTTAAAAGAAATAATAAGTTTTTTTTTACAGCATTCAGTTACTTTAAGAAAAAAATTTTGTTAATTCTAAAACAAATTAGAAATCAATATCAATTTAAATTAAAAATTCAAAATATTAAGAAAACTCCTAATTAATATTTAAAATAAGATAATTTGCATTGCTTTTCATTTTATTTCTATAAAAAACAACAAGAATTTTTATAATTTCTTTTGATTTTTTAGAAGAAAAAAGAATATTTTTTTAAAATAATTTCGATAAGAATTCGAATGATTTTCTTATCAATAATAGAAATGTTCAACGACTTGGTAACGTTGTTCACTCCATCTTATTTCACAAAACTTTCTTCTTCACGGTTTCTGAGTTGGAGAGAGTTTTAGGAACGTATAAATATGTTCTGCTCATCGTGTTATTGACCTTGCTGCAAATAATAATGCTCAGAGTAATATTAAAGATGAATTCGAACGATCGAAGATGATTGTATAAATTTCGATTTAATATTGGGCATGCTCAAAAATGATTGGACGAGCTATACGGTTAATAATGATTAAGCGATTTTTTTTCAACTCATTATATATCTTCAATAAAAGTATTTGAAAATAAATATTTTAAAGTTCTTTTTTTAATATTATTTCTTCTCTGTATAATTATCTCGAATAATAATATCCTAGGAAGTTGATTACTTGATTAATTTCATAAATTATATAAAGTAGTTAAAAAATGTTTGATATAGATATTTTTTATTTATCTTGAATTTCACACAACAATATTCTATCCCTTTATAGCATTGGAAAATTCATTGCCAGTATACAAGTGATAAAATTTATTTTAAAAATAAGAATGTTAACAATTCTTACATATATCTGAATGAAAAATGAATTGCTTATTTTTAAATAATTTTAAATAAACGCAAAGATTAATAATAATAATAAAATATTTATTAAAAATTGGCAAGGATTGAAAAGAAGCACAAGGTTAATTTTAAGTTTTCTTTCGAAGAATATTTATATATTTATATTTATTATTTTCATTTTAAGTTCATCGACCTATCAACGTGATAAAGTGACTTTGCATGTCATATCATCGGTTTTTATTTAAGAATTGATGATACGATGATGTGATTTATAGGTAGTAATTAAAAATCTTTCGATTTTCTTACAATTCTAAAAAATGTTTTAATTTAAAGAAATGCCGCAATAGGCTATGCCATAATTTCTTTCTGTATTCCAAGATAGATTTATAAAAATAAATACTGAACATTTTATAAAATTTTTTATATAAATAATTGCAAATAAAAGTAATCGTAGTGATCTTTTTGGAAATTTATTAATCTACATTTCAGATTTAAGACAATATTCTTTCAAATTCTACTTTATCGTCATTTTTATCCGTTTAGTTAATATATTTTTTTATCCACAATGATAAATCTATCTGAATTTTTCCAGTCATGGTTTCGTGGCGTTCGAAGCAGTAAATTTCGCCACGTTTACGGTGTACCTGCTAAACGAGAAAAATGTTACGACAATATCAAGATCACGAAGAACGCCCACGACTCACAATTTTGCGCTGTGAATCCCAAATTCCTTGCCATTGTGACGGAAGTGGCGGGCGGCGGGGCATTCTTGGTTTTGCCGCTTGATCGCGTGAGTTATCTAACTTATCGGGTTATCGATTTGCTATTCTTATCATGCATACGAGCTAATATTGCCTGATAATATATTTTGCCTGAGCTATCGTGAACGGCCGACCATGAATTATAGATTGACGCAAATACCTTAATATCGGATGGTAGATATAGAATTAAAAGAATCGTTATTAAAAGAAAGTTGTTCCTTAATAGATATAAAAACATAACATAAAAATGAATTAAGATAAGAATGCGAATTAATGATTTATTAAATAAGATTATTAAATTGAATAATAATAGTTTATTTGATCGAATTTAAATTTTTCCCTTCTTCTTTTTTTTTTAGACTGGTAGGCTAGATTTTAACGCCAGCAGAGTAACTGGACACACTGGACCGGTTCTGGACATCAAATGGAATCCGTTCAACGATAATATCATCGCTTCCTGTTCCGACGATTGTACTGTACGATCACGTTCCTATTTTTATATATCATTATTTAAAATATTAGACAATATTTATTTATTGAAAGGATTATTACTTTTATGGTATTAAATATTAAAAATTACATAAAAGTTTAGATGAAAAAAGTAAATTGTTTTTCGTTATATTTTCATTGTTGATTTGAGCTTACAATGAAGTAAGTCGAATGAAAAATATTTTGTCAAATGACCTGTCGGCGTGACAAATTGCTATTATAAGCGACTGAATCGTAAAATATGGCATCTATCATTTGCTATCTAAAAGACAGAATGTTTTGTTAAAGTTAAAACGCAATATTTTGTCCTACTTACTTTCATCATCTTCGATATGTATAGCAAAAATGGCACAAAAGATAAAAATATAATATAAAAATTTCTATTATCATCTAAGAAAATTATTTTTCAATAATTTTAAATATTTTATAAGCTCTAGCGATTTAGTTTTATTTCATAATGCTTTTTTTTTCTTAAATGTATAGATAAAATTGTGGCACATTCCTGACGGTGGATTATCACGAAATCTCACCGAATGGTTAGTGGAGCTGCAAGGACATAAACGTCGTGTTGCATACATAGAATGGCATCCTGTTGCTGAGAATGTGCTATTCAGTGCTGGCTTTGATCACCTTGTTATCGTATGGGATATAAATAAAGGAGAGGCTGTCAATATAATTGATAGGCATCCTGATGTGATCTACAGTATATCATTAAATCGTGATGGTAGCTTATTGGCGACAACATGCAAGGATAAAAAATTAAGGGTTTTTGAGCCAAGATCTGGTATCGTAGTCTCTGTATGTATTAATTTTATTTTATGTACTGATTACTTTTATTTTAAAATTAGAACTTATTCGAATGAATATTTCTATAAATCATTCCCTGTTAAAGGAAGGGATCTGTCATGCTGGAACAAAAGCTAGTAAAGTGGTTTTCCTTGGTAGTTCTGGTCGTCTTCTTACGACAGGTTTCAGTCGACATTCTGACAGGCAGTATGCTATCTGGAGTCAGCATGATTTGAATATACCATTAACATGCGAAACAATTGATTCTTCCAGTGGAGTAGTTTTTCCATATTATGATAACGATACGAACATGGTATATTTGGCAGGAAAGGTAAAGAAATAATGTCACAAGATTATATATATAGAATGGATATTTTATATTTTTTTTTTATATTTTTTTATTTAGGGTGATGGTAATATTCGATATTATGAGATAGTAACGAAGCACCTTGGATGCATTATCTTAGTCAATTCATCTCTGGAAATCCTCAACGAGGATTAGGTGTAATGCCAAAAAGAGGCGTTAATACTGCTATATGCGAAGTATTCAGATTTTATAAATTACATGCGACTCGAGGAATGTGCGAGCCGATATCCATGATAGTTCCTCGAAAAGTATGTAGAAATGTAAAAAATTAAATTAATAAATGTTTTTATTCGATACGATATAATTATCAATTATTTTTACTTTATAGAGCGATCAATTCCAAGAAGATTTGTATCCCGATACTATAGGTACTTGTCCAGCTTTATCAGCTAGAGATTGGATAAGCGGGATGAATAATCCACCAATTTTAATTTCTTTGAAAACCGGTAAGTAAGATTATAGAATTTCATTTCATCTTGTATTTTTTCTCCTTATGTATTACTTGATTTTATTATTTAAATATAAATAGGTGGTAGTATTACCACGCACAAGCCACGAATATATAAACCACCTCAACTTCCACCAACGACTGACTTGAATAATAAAAAGAAATTCGCTTTCTTGTCTACCGAAACTGTACCAGATTACAGGCCCATCGAGTTTCACGATATGTCGGAGAAAAGTCAAAAGACATCTAGTAATCAAAGTACTAAATTTCAGCAACTGCAACAAAAATTCGGCAATGTTGTATTACAGGTATAAGTATTTCTATAATATTTTTATTAATATTTTCATGAATTTAACACTAATTAATAGATTTTGTAGAAAAATATCATTTCTTCTCCACTGAATGATAATAAGGTCTTAGAAAATGTGGACATTCCTAATAATGAAGCGGAATTGAGATTAGCATTTGTTCGCCAAACCGATGAATTGAGATTGGTACGAAGACAACTTGCAAACAGTCAGTTACGCGTTAAAGAATTGGAGGAACAAATTCGCAAACTTCAGCGTTAGTAAATATACAATTTTTTCGAAATATATAACGTATGCGCCGAATAAAATTTTTTGTAGCTTTGTTGCTAATTATACAACAAACATGGTACTTAACAAAGTGATAAAACGAATATACGTGTATTGTTTATGGCAGTCTAAACGCCTACGCTTTTAACAAAATTTACATACACATAAAAAAAAGAACAAAAAGAAAAAGAAGAAAATAAAAGATATTTAAAGATAATCGAGAAACTTTATGAACTGGAAATGCTAGTTACAATTATATATGCTATAATATAATTATATAATTCTCTCTAATGTATCTTATGAATGATACATGATGCATTTTATAGAATTTCGCATTTTTCTATATCTTTGTTGTATATCTTTTTTCTTTGCAATTTTTTACATGGTTCATCATCACATGGTTCATATATCATTGTTAGAAAAAAACGCAGCAATGAAGCAACAATAATTTAGTCAATTTTTTTTAAGATACATAAATGCAGTACATTGTTCTGCTCTAGAGAAACTGAACAAAAAGATGAACAAATAATTGTGATTTATACTATTGCCTTCACTATACAAACGAGTTTTTGTCTATATAAAATCTTAATATTTCTCCAAGATGCAATGTTTTATCGAATGACTTTTAAATATTTCATGATGATATGAAGTTCTCTTTTGGTTCTATGAAGTTTAATTTTTTTTATTTGCATATAAAAAATATAATGTATAAAATGTATACATATTATTGATTGTGCAAACTGTCTTATCTTTTTAGAAAATAATTTTTTAAAATTATATTATCAAAAAGAAGGAGAAAGATTAACTTGATATAAAGACGCAAAACTTGAACGAAGTATTAAATGTTCAGTACATAAAGAATTGTACCTGTCTTGTGCATATGCACGTTTATCGTATGCGATTCGTTTTATATATATAGAATTGTCATACATAGAGTGATAAATAAATGCAAAGATATTTAAGAGTTGCGAAGAGGATATTATGAATGTAATAAAACGATCATTCGAAAATAGCACAAGATGCAAGAATTAATAATGACTAATAATTAAAATTAAAATTTCTTTCTAAGAGAAGAAAAAAAAAATAATTTGATAAATTTTCTTTAATATAATTTAATAATATTTTGTTAATTTCTTTAAAATGAATTTGTTAATATCTTAATGATATTTATGATCATATTTATTGCTTGATTTATTTTTTATACTTTAATTAGTGAACATTTATTTTTCATTGTTGATAGTCAATAATATTTATGAATTCCATTATAATAATTGTATATTAATCGATCAATTAATTTAAAATTATTATTATTATGATTGTTATTATTAACTTTCATCCTACGTCTTATTTTTTTTGTCTCATACATAAGATAATATAAAGATGATGTATTTAATTTATTAATGTTTAAGCTATTCTGTATTATTCAATATATCGATCACTGCCATATTCACTGCCATGATATAAGTGGCAATAGAATTTTTTTAAAAACGCATGACAGTGACGATATTTATTGTACTATTATAAATTAGTTTTGAACTTTAAGCTATTTTTTTCATATAGTTAAGAACGTAGAACTTGATGTGCATAATGAAAATTCTAAATCAAGAAAAAAAAAAACAATGCTGAATGATCAAGGATCATTAATAAAAGGAAAAAAAAAAGAAAAGAAGTGTATTATCGTACATCGATTGTTTTTGAAGAAAATATAGCAATTTTTTATTCACTTATATTCACATTATATATATATATACAATAATACCAATATATGTGTGTGTCAAATTATACATTTCTAGGACCAACAAACTGAGAAAGAAATTATTAGTCACAAAATATTCTTTATTGCTTAATAGCGATCAAATTTAGTAATAGTTATATATACTGTTTATACACACACACACACACACGCGCGCGCGCGCGTGTATTTTTCATACAATATAATTGTAATATCGACAAAGATATAAAAAACAACTTTGACTGAACATTCTATTAATAACTAATATATAAAATATGCTTGTGATTAGTGCACATTAATTATTATAACAAAAAGAAAATAGAAAAAAAATAATACAAAATATAAATATAAAAAAAAGAGAATAACATTGGCGCAATTTTTATCGTATAATAATAAATTATTTAATTTGATTTATAAATTGACTAAGAATTAATTATTAAATGCTATGATGAAAAAATATCATTCTGAAATATCATTCTGTGTTTTTGATTTGTAAAACACAACTATACAGATAGAAAATTATTAATCATTGTGTCATCAAACATAGATATATATATA